CAGGAGCGATGGGGGCGCGGGGAGGGTGGCCGGGTTGGATATGGGGAGGTTTCACTCGAGAGCATTCTGCAGGTTTCTTCCCCGACCCCAAGAGTGCCATTTCTTTCTCTATCGCCTCGTCGTAGCTTTGTGTCTGGTAGCGTCCCACACTGTATTTCCTGCCTCAGCCTTCTCGTCTTTTTTTCCCCCTCTTAGTTTTTTTTTTTGTTTGGATTTTCTTTTTTTTTTTAGCCAGTCTCGAAACTCATGAGGAAGTGTATATAAAAATACTAGCTGCAGTTTTTTCCTAATACAAGAGAAAACAAAAACAATCCCGGCAACTAATCTGACCTCACTGAGGTATTAACTCTAGATCAAACTTGGAAGAGCTATTAAAACATAGGGAAAAAGCCATGGAAATTTAAGATAATACAAAATGGGTTTTGCCAAAGCTTGATCGAGGCCAAGAGGGAAGACCTTATGCTGGGGTGCACTTGGTGGTTCTGCTTAGATTCCTCCCTGTGAGGAAGTGAAATGACTCTGCAGACAGATTTAAAACACAATTTGACTGCCAGACTCCATCACAGCTCTTCTGAAGCGTGTCTGAACAACGTAAATGAGCTAAATATGGTAGGTTTTTCACGGGAAGAGTAAAAAATCTACGTGAACTAATGATACTTCCATTGAAAAAGTCTAAAGCAAAAACAAACCATTTTTGATGGAAATTCCTCAGCTTTTTTTTTTTTTTTAATGAAAATCCAATTTTTTCCCCCACCCAGTTTAATCCCAGGAAGAGATGAATCCGTTTTGTTAAAAACCCCTGCTCTTGTATGATTCAGTCTTGATTTAGATTCCTTGGGGGGAGTCAGTGTAGCCAGCTCTGTTGTAGGGGCCTGAAGAGGATTCTTCTGAAGTTGCCAGAATGTAATCAATGGACAAACCTATGCGTATTGCTTCTGATTATCCTCTAAGCTTCATTATTAAATTATTAACTGAAAAGCTGTTTCTGTGGTTTTGGCATTTAAAAAATAAAAAACTGTAATTGCAAGTATTTGCCTTTATATAGCAAATTTATTTTAATCATCAAATTCAGTGTCTACCTGTCTTGGTAAATTCCACTTGAATTTTGATGCTTGTCAACATCAATTTTCAACAGAGCAAGTTATCTTGATTCTTGATAAGACCACTGAATTTATTAGGCTTTATCTCAGAAACCTGGGTGTTGTCTTCATGCTTTGGTTTTTTATCTTCTAGCATGTTTCCCTTCTGGGAATTTCAGTATTTATAATGCATGTAATTATCTCCAGGATGTATAAGTATGCTGTCATGCTTACTTGTTTCAGGCATACAAAAGGATTGGAGTCAACAAGATTTAAAAAAAAAAAAAAAAAAAAAAAAAAAGCTTGTAATAAACTGTGTGTGGGCTCTGTAACTTCACTTCCATTCTGATTTAGGAAGCTGGGGACTGATTACTCATGTGGTTATCATCTAAAGATACCAGGAGCAGGCTGTGTTGTAGATCGGTCAGAGGATAATGAGTGCAGTATTTATAGGTGATGGTAACAGCTCATTGTTATGCAGATGATGTAGTTAAAAATGAATAAAAATAGAGCTTCTTGGCCCTTGGGTTCTTTTATAAAGATTTATTGGGTCCTAAAATACCTGCAGTGTTAAGAAGCTGAGAATTTGGAGTCAGGAATACCTACCTTGCAGGTCACCATGCTGCTTCACCTGATGCATGAGCTGCTCAAGTGTTGCTGTGTGCAGCAGTGGACTGACCCTGCAGTGTCCATTTATCTCTTCAGTTAAGTTTGACCAGAATAATGAAATTCTTCTGCATTTATTGGGAGAATTCAGAGAGTATTTGTGCAACATAAATTGCCCTGTGCAGGGACTTAATTCCTGCCAGACACTTTTTGAGGTGTGAGTCCCATGCCTCTTTTCCTACTCTGTGGGATAAGGATTCTCTTGCAGCACAAACCACAGTTATCCGTTCTTGTAAAGAAGTAATACTACTACAGGTTTAAAAGGCTGTTCCTACTTCCAGAGGTGAAGGGTTTGTTCAGGCTCCTCACTCTTTGAGCTCAGGCTTGGAGCTTCAGTTGCAGTCTGCAGCAGAAGCAATCATCAGAAAAAGAGATGCAGTCAGTGAGGTGTTTAAAATAATATGCAGATACATGCAATTTACAGGGAGTACCTAAATTTCAGGATTTATTGGTGCTCATTGTGAATACAAGGAACATGAGCTCACTCATTTTTACTAATGAGCAGCACAAACATCAGTTCAGCAAAAGGTAGCTCTAGGAGGCAGTTGCTAAGTGATCCCAGGAAATCTGCCAACTATCTTATATCTGTTTGATGGACATATTTAGACCAAAACACAGGAGAAAACATCTAATCAAAACCCCAGTTGGATCCTAAAAGTGCTGGTTTAGAATTTTTTTTTTCTGTGAAAACAGAGCAAGAAAAAACAAAATCTCTTGTCTTTTATTAAATTGTTAACTTAAAAAAATTGGGAAGCTTAAATTGAAAGAACACAAAATAGATTTGCTCTGGCATCACCTGGACACATGATTTTATTGTAATGATAAAATACAACATAAATACTTCCATAAGAATGGCTCAGCAGTGTTGTGAAATGAAGCACCAGGGAGAAGGGCCCTTCATTTCTGGGTGGAAGTGTGAAGCAGGGGCACAGAATGTCTCTTGCCATGGTGACACGTGTGGGTGCCAGGGGGGATTTGTCCTTCTCTGGCCGAGCCCAGCCCGAGCTGCTGGCAAACTCTGGAGATCAGAGTACTCTGTTCTCAGCAGTTTCTCATCCTCCTGGATCCTCTCCCACTGGTTTTGGAGCCCTGAACAAACGAGAGAGTGTTCTAGAGACCATCTGTAAATCCAGTGTGCAGCTCAAGTGAGGGGGG